CAAAAAGAAAGAAGCCATACCAATTCCCATACCAACAAACACAATATGTCTGTGAGTAGGACTAGATGCCCTTTGAGGAAAAGCTGAAGGTTTGTCTGTTTTCAAAAGTTGCTACTTTCAAGTTCTCAATATCAAGAGGGCCTACCCTTAGTTTTTGTAGAGGGATCAATAGAGGGTACAGAACCTGCTAACTAATGAAACCAGGAGGATTTCTGCCCATTGGTTCCTCAGCCAAGTGTATTTTGCCTATGCAATATTTCTCTTTTTCAACCTACGAGAACAAGAATGAATATTATTTGATGGACAAGAATCTCTTTGTTTGAACCAAAGAGAATTTTGTCAACAAATTAATTATTGGCAGGGCAACATTCTCTATCTTGTTTGAATCAACAGGAAGTTTCCAGGGTATAGAATTGCTGGTATCATGGCTGGATTCAGAGGACATAAAAGGGGTTGGTTCACAGTTTGGATGGGTGAGAACCATGCCATTATCATTTCAAAGTGCACTGCCAAGCCAGAAGGCAAGTCCAATTGCAGTGTTCAAGGAAGTGAGTGTCAAGTACACTGCCAAGCCAATTAAGAGTGGGCAAGGACACATGTGGTGGAGTAGTCAAAAAGAAAAAGAAAAAATCAAAAGAAAAGCCAAAAGAAAAAAATGAAAACCAACACACTTCTTTCAAATCACAGCTGTGCCCACCCAAAGGAGCAGCTGTTTGTGGAGCATCTTCTTGAAGAAGAAACTGGGGATAGACCAACAAATCTAGTAGACATGGGGTTGAATACTGGCGACTGTGATTGTTGTTGCCGCTGTACAACACAAATGACAGAAACAACAACAATTGTCCGGTCCTTAGGAATTGGGATGGATACAGCTGAGGCAATACTGGTCTCAGCAGCATCAGCTGGGGTTGTTGTTGGTGGTGTTGCTTTCCAACATGAATGTCGGAAACAAGAACAATTGTGACCAGAAAACACTGCTGCTTCTGGTCTGTGAGGAATACTGTTGGAACTGCGTGGAGATGCTGGGGGATTGTCTTTAAAACTGAATATGATGTAGCATATACTCCAGGCCTGGTTCTTCACTAGGTCATAGTTAAACACTGGGGGTTATTGCTATTGCTGTCCAACGCAAATGTCAGAAACAACAACATCCTGACCGGAAAACACTTCCAGCCTGTAAATATTGGAGCTGCTTGGAGATAAGGCTGGTGAATCTTCTTTAAAAGTGAGTATGGTGGAGCACATACTCCAAGCATTTTTCCTTAAAGGATAGATCTTGGTTGTGGGGACTGGGCTTTGTGCTGTTGCTTGGCAACATGAATGTCGGAAACAACAACATGTCCAGTCCTTGAGAACTGGGGATGGATCCAGCTCAGGCAAACTGTGCACAGCTGKTGGAGGATAATACTGGGAATGATACTGGTCTAGGCAGTATTGGCTGGGGTTGTTGTTGTTGCTGTCCAACATGAGTGTCGGAAATAACAACAACAACAGCACGACCAGAAAAATAAATAAAACTGGAACTGCATGGAGATAAGGCTGGTGAATTTTCTTTAAACTGGGTATGTACTTTTTAATGGTGTTCTTCTTAACAACATGACTGGAATCTTCTACCGGTCCATAAAATACTGGAACTGCATGGAGGTAAGGCTGGTAATCATGTAGCATATGCTCCTGGTGTTGTTCTTCAAAGGATAAGTCTTGGTTGAATACTGGAGGTTGTTGTTGTTGCTGTCCAACACAAATGTTGGAAACAACAACATGGTGACCAGAATCCTCATTAGTAACTTCAAGACCAGAAGATATGGTACTTCCAAAGGAAAAACAAGGGATGGATCCAGCTGGGGCAAACTGCTACTACCACCAGCTGGGGAATATGGATTTACTTGGAATAGTATTGGTTAGATTGCTTGCTTAGAAGTGCTTGAATGGAGCCAGGGAGGTGGGTCTTTTCCCCTTTGGTAGGGGATGTCACCATGGTGTTTGGATGCCAGAAGGTGCTGGTCAGGTATGAAATGTGTAGGGATCAGTGGGAAATCTAGGTGATAATTTTCAGAAGCAAAATATAGATGTGGCTTGGGAATGTACTTTACAGTCATCAATTTTGGGCTATCTTTTTCTGTGTAAAACTAAATCACTTCTATTGGTACTTGAATTTTTGAACCTCACCAGTCATGTGACCAAATAGTTTCAAGAGCACATCCTATTGCTTCACCAGCAGTACAACTCAATTTGTAATCCCACAAGTCATTACACAGTACTAAAAAGATAGCCCAAAATCAACACACAGTAGAAAATCATGTAGAATGTTAAATAAGGGTCAACTCACTTGAACAGCTATAACTTGGTCCGCAACAGACACTTAACAATGATAAGCACATGAATCAAATCCCAGTAAAAAGAAGAATTCAGTGATAGGGGGATTATACTACTAGGGGTTATTGAGTATTTAACTATTACTGTACGGATATCAAGTATTAAAAATGTATGATTAAATTGGCTATTTTTTAATTGCCACAGTTATACAATAAAAAAAATATTTCTCCTGGCTAGAGGCCCAACTACTACTACTACTACTACTACTACTACTACTACTACTACTACTACTACTACTACTACTACTACTACTACTACTACTACTACTACTACTACTACNTACTACTACTACTACTACTACTACTACTACTACTACTACTACTACTACTACTACTACTACTACTACTACTACTACTACTACTACTACTACTACTAGTAGTAGTAGTACTACTAGTACTAGTAGTACTACTACTACTACTACTACTACTACTACTACTAGTAGACATCCTCACCAGTGCAGCATAGTAAGGACAGGAAGAAACAATAACTACTGGTGCTGCTAGTACTAGTACTAGTGGTGATGGCAAATCTCCACCAACAAGAAAGAGTGCTGCTACTGGTGGTGTGAGAACAAATTATTGTTGTTCTTCTTCTTCTTGCTCATCTGGAGGGGCTGTGTGGATGCTGGCTTGCAGACAAGGCTATTGCTTCTTTATCTAGATTGGTGGGATAGGGCAGTTGCATTTACTGGTGGTGTGAGAACAAATTATTGTTGTTGTTCTTCTTCTTGCTTGTCTGGAGGGGCTGTGTGGATGCTGGCTTGCAGACAAGAAGGCTATTGCTTCTTCTTTATCTAGATTGGTGGGATAGGGCAATTGCATTTATCAAAAAGAATAATCTGGTGAACTCTGGTGGTGCTGTTAATGATGTCTCAACTCCAATTGTTTTCAGATCATAGTAATAGTAGTACTACTATTAGTACTCCTCATATTAGTACTAGTACTAGTACTGCTACTAGTACTAGACTCAACTTTGAAACATAACTACTACTAGTAGATGATGTTCTAAAACTAAAAATCCATCTGCTACTAAAAATATTGACATATTCAGAATCCTTAATAGTATGGAAAACTGGAATAGTGTAGTAAAAAATTACAATAGTTGTATTTTTGAGAAAGTTGTTACTTCTCAAAAAGTTGGTTGTTTTTACTAGTAGTGTTCTACAGTAAAATTGAAATAAAAAAATCTGAGTTAAAAATTTTGTTACTGTATTCCTGTGATGGATGGAATACAGTACGGTATGAGTTTTCGATGTTGCGCGCACTCCCTCTTAATTGGTTGCGGCTGCCTCCTTTTTTTTTTGAAGGACTGCGGCGGCCAAAAAAACTTACTACGGTGCAAAAACTACTAGGTTATTGCTAGTACTACTAGTAGAATGACTTGTTCTTGTTGTCACAATAATGACTGAATGTTTGTTGTTAGTAAGTTAAAAATGAATAATTTATGTTGGTACTAAAGGTACTAATTTATTTGGAAAAATTAATATACCGGGGTTTGTACAAATCTACACTAAAAAAAGTTTCTTTTTGTTTCTTCGGTAAGTCCAGGGCTGTAAGAGTTCTTCAAAGTTACTGGCTAGGTGCACTAAAGATAGTCATAGTGAAGTGCAGTGCACCGTAGCCAATTTTTGACCCCTTACTGTACTCGAAGCATCTACGTACCGTACAAGCTAGGAGTAGTGTACGGTACCGTACGTACTGTATTTTCTATTTCAAATAACTTCCGATCGACCAGGCAGACTGTTCGTTCGACATTCGACATTCGACATAGCTTAATAATCGGGCATCGTACGTACGTACCAACACGAGGTGGTACTATTCGTGCTCGTGCGTAGGACTTTCGAGAAGAGGATGTCCAATCTACAAATGACGGCAGACAAGAAATGGTTTTCATTAAGGAGTTATCAGAACTATTAAATTACTTAAAACAATCATATCAGAAGTCCAGGACGGCGACGAGGATGTCATGCGAAATATTTATTGTCGACATAAATAGAAAGAGTACTCCTAATTAAAAACACGGTTCTCTACAACATTTCCTGGTACTGATTACTCGTAGAGTTTAAGGGCAAAGATCGAAAATTTCATTCCATCACCATCTGATTCTTTTGACTTTCAGTCTGTTATTCGTCCGTGTTTGAATCTCAAATTCGTAGAATACTGGTAGTACCAAAAGCCAGTACGGTAGTACTGGCTTTTGCTACTACAACTACCCCAGTCTTTTTTAAGTAGTGAATGGAATAAAATAAGTTGCTTTTCGCTCAAAGAAAAGGAAAAAACATATTGCTCGTTGACGGACGATGTATGGACTATCGAATCCTAAATTTAGGCAGTAAACAAACAAAATTAGTACCAGAAAATCGTAGGCACGCGCGAAATGCACACACGACGACCACAAAAATCCTCTTTTTTCTTTCCATCGAGCTTCTGAGAATTTCTCTGCGTCTCTTTTTGCCATCACTTGAGATGCCGCTGTCTATCAGCACGGTACGACGTTGAAAAATACACTCGAAGGCCCACACAACTACTAGAAGACACCGCGCTGAAATTCACTTCACGCACTCCCAAAAAACGACGAACGTCATCGTTCACGTAGGTTCCAGTACATAATCTACCTACAAGTCCCCGATTCAATCGGTGACACAAGAGTTGGTGTGAATCTTACTCTCCTCGCAGCACCGATGCAAAAGTAACTTTGAATCGATAAATTGATTAAGGGTGAGATGATTCGTTGTTGACCATGGTTGTGTCCTCGGAAACGTTGAGCGCCATATTCGTCTCGCTGTTTCATTGATATCAGTATTCACGGTACCGTCGTCGAGAGCGGAGAGCTTCACTAGAGTCGTGTAGGATCTCCGTTGATCTCGTACTGTCTGTCTGCCCCCTCTGAAGTGATGTGTGTTGCTGAATGCGCACAGGAGAAGCATGAACAAAAAATTCATCTTTTCCGCCTCTTTTTCGTGTTGAGTCCGAGGTTGAGGACAGCGAAATCTAAAACGTTGAGCACCATACTCGTTCTGTATCTGTCTTAGTGATTTGGTACAATTAAGGTGCTTCTACAGCTGGACTGAATGTTTGTTGCAGCACACTTTATTGCTGTATTGGCCACTTCGCTTCATTATATCAACGAATTCTGCTCCTCGCCCACATCCCACCAGCAAGACACCATGTTCATTACTTTGAACAATGGAAATTGCAAGAAACAGCAAACTGACCGTCTTTTCAAATTTTCAATTTAATTTTTTGACTATAGTCTATTGCGGTCTGCTTGCTGATATTTTACGTGAAGAGGATATCCGGAGAGTCGAAAACAACAATAGCTACGGTGGGCTGCCCTTTGGATTGAATTTGCAGAGCTTCGGTTGGTTGAGAGACGAGGAAGGAGAATCCGTTGCTCCTCTGACTAACTGTTGACGACGACAGGCTTTGAATCAGAAAATTGTAGACATATCGATCGTTTTCATTGTAGTAACATCTGAGAGAAATAAGTAAATATAGTCTCTCATGCAGACGCCACAAGCGCCTCCGCCTCAGATGGCACCTGCGCCCCAGGCAGCACCGCAGCAACCGATGATGCCTGCAGCTCCGGTTGCTGCACCGATTCCGATGCAGCATACCCAATATGCACCGCAACAGCAAAATAATGTACAAGGGACAACATTTCAGCCCCAACAGCAGCAACAGCAGCAACAGCAACGATATGTTGGTGCTCCTGGCACCCAGGTGGGAGCCATGCCACAGCAGCAGCAGCCGGTCACTCAGCAGGTCGCTGCTCCAGTCGCTCAGCCGCAGCGGCAACAGACCACGCAAATATATCCTCATCAAGGCCTAAATGGTGGTTGGCAGAGCGATCAGGATTACAATGAACGGAGGAAGATGATTGCTAAAATGTAAGTGTTTTAGATCGGAATTTACAAGAATTGGCGGACGTGATTCAAACAGTCAAATATCACAGCTTCATCTATGCTGTTTTTCTCCTAATCAGCAAAGTGTGTGGTATAGTTTTCTCACCATTTGTTTTTTCTTGTCTTGTTTCTATCTTGGTTCGGAAATTGATGTCTTTGTTTTATGCTCATGAATACAATAAAATAGAGTACATTTGTTGAAATTAAGAAAACCAAATGCACCACCGGATTGGTTGAAGAAGTTACCACAGATGGCTAAACGTCTAGAGGAATCATTGTATCGGTCCGCAAAGTCGTTTGAAGAGTACAATGACGCATCGACTCTTAAACAACGCCTTCAACAGTTAGCTCATAATATTGGTATGAAAACAAGAAAAATTCAACAAGCGCAAATGCAAGCTCGAGCTCAGCAGCAACAACAGCAGCAGCAGCAGCAGCAACAACAACCACAGCAGATGGGACAGCAGGGGGTGCAATATCGAACCGTTCCACAACAATCTCAACAGCAGGGTATACAACAGCAACCAATAGCGCCGTTGCAGCAGCAACAGCAAGCTCCCCTCCAACAAATTCAGCAGGCCCCAATGGTACAAGGACAGCACCAGCCCATGCAACAGCCACCGCCAGTTCAGCAGCCACAAGGAAGCAATAGCCGAATTGTAAATGTTGCAGAAATAAATCCTATCATGAGTCAGCCTACGGTCAAGACTACCCATGCCCCAGTACAGCCAGCACCAATGCACTACCAACCAGCGCAACCCCAGGCTCCTGTAGCGGCACCGCAACCAGTGTCAGCTCCCGTTCAGGGGCAAGCTCAGACACAAAACGGAAGTGGAAATCGTCAAGTATCGGACCGACAGCAGGTATTGCGCCATCAACAACAACGCTTGTTGCTCCTTAGGCATGCTGCCAAATGTCAGCACGACGATGGACGATGTCCAGTGACACCACACTGTGCAGGTATGAAGCGCTTGTGGAAACACATCGCGGAGTGTAAGGACCAAAAATGTTTGGTTCCTCATTGTGTGAGTTCACGGTACGTTTTGAGTCACTATCATCGATGTAAGGACGTCCGATGTCCTGTATGTGGTCCTGTAAGAGAAGCAATCCATCGAAGTCATGAAAAGCAAAAGCAAATGCAGGCTTTGAAACAGCGACATCAACAAGCAGTTCAACAGAACCAAAGTGAAGGCGCACCTGTTGGAGCGCCGGTGGGGGTGCCTCCAGCACAAGTTCAACACGTTGTACAGGCTCCTTCATCTGTCCAGGGAGTTGCGCCTCCTCCACAGCAGCAACCATTGCAATATCCACCTCAGCCCACCGCTCCAAAGAGCACTATGGCTGCAGAACCACCCAACAAGAGACAACGCATTGGAGTTCCCATGCAGTATCAACAGCAACCTGTTGCACCGGCTCCAGGACAACCAATTGCACCACGAAATATGTATCAACCAGGATCAGTCCCTGTAACGTCTTCTACCACATCGCTTCCTCCACAACCTATGTCAATACAGCCTCCTGCAGTTTCAAGCTTTGCACCGAAGCAGCAACCGATGGCTCCGCAACCTGGTGTACCTAATGCACCCGTTCCAATTGCAAAGCCTGCTGCGCCCCCTAAATTTGCAAACGGTCAAGTGATTACACCGAAGTTTACAGGCCCCAAGCCACAAGAAGACCATACTCTGATCAATTGCTTTTCAGTTGAACAGATTGAAACACATATTGCGTCTTTGAATAAAGGCCTGCAACTTCCTCCTGCAAAATTGAAGGCCAGCTGCCTGGATGTGCTCAAAAACCTGCAGAGCCACCAACATGGTTGGGTGTTTAATAGTCCCGTTGATCCTGTGGAGCTAGGTCTTCCTGACTACTTTGAAGTCATCAAACAGCCAATGGATCTTGGAACAATTAGGAAGAAGCTCGAGAATGGCTGTTATCATTCGTTAGATGACTTTCATAACCACGTTCAAATTACGTTTGATAACGCCATGCTGTATAATCCCGAAGGGTCAGTTGTATACAACATGGCGAATGAAATGAAAACCAAGTTCATACAAGATTTTGAAAACTTGATGAAGCAACTGAATGCAGAGGAGGATGCGAAGAGAAGAAACGGAGAAGCATGTTCATTGTGCGGATGCGAAAAATTGTTATTCGAACCTCCAGTTTTTTACTGCAATGGTCACAATTGTCCTTCGAAACGTATTCGACGGAATAGCTATTATTATGTTGGTGGCAATAATCAATACCATTGGTGCCACCAGTGCTTCGGTGATCTGAAAGATGGCCAATTACTCGAACTAGCGGATGCATCGATCCGAAAGGAGCAACTTATTAAGAAAAAGAACGATGAAACTCACGAAGAAAGTTGGGTTCAATGTGATCGTTGTGAGCGATGGGTTCATCAGATTTGTGCTCTATTCAACACTCGTCAAAACAAAGATCAGCGGTCTGAATTTGCTTGTCCACGATGTACGATCGAAGAGCGCAGGAAGACTGGGAGGCTCGAGGCGACTTCTTCAACTCCTATGGCCGAAGATCTCCAACGTACTAAGCTATCCGAATTTATCGAGTCTCATGTCCGTGGAAAGATGGCCGATCATCTTAAAGGACTTGCGGAAGAGAAGGTACAAAAGGACGGTGTATCGATCGAAGAAGCCAAAGCTTCTGTTACAATGKGCGGAGAAATCACAATTCGTCAAGTTACTTCGATGGATCGTAAACTCGAAGTACGGGAACGTATGAAGAAGCGATATGCTTTCAAGAAGTATCCCGACGAATTTACTTATCGATGCAAATGTTTTGTTGTGTTTCAAAATCTTGATGGTGTTGACGTCATTCTCTTTGGACTCTACGTCTACGAACATGACGAGAAGAATCCCTCACCAAACGACCGAACTGTATATGTATCGTATCTTGACAGTGTCCATTATATGAGACCGAGGTCCATGAGAACATTTATTTACCACGAGATTCTTATATCATACCTTGATTATGTTCGACGTCGTGGATTTTCTACTGCACATATTTGGGCTTGTCCCCCGCTGAAAGGCGATGATTACATTTTGTACGCCAAACCAGAAGACCAGAAAACGCCAAAGGACGATCGGCTTCGTCAGTGGTATATTGATATGCTCGTTGATTGTCAAAAGCGTGGAATTGTTGGGAAGCTGACAAACATGTACGACCTGTACTTCTCAAATAGAGAAAATGACGCTACCATTGTCCCTTACATGGAGGGCGACTACTTCCCAGCTGAAGTAGAGAATATCATTAAGGATATAGAAGAAGGAAAGGTTGGCAAAAAGAAGTCTAGTGGAAAAGAGGGAAAGAAAAAGAAAGGGGATAAAAAGCAAAAAAGAAAGAGCGGCAGAGGTGGAACGCGATCAAGTGGAATTGATGAAGATGCTCTCAAAGCCAGCGGTGTTCAGTTCCCTGGCGACGATCAAAGGAGTCTTGAAGAGGGTGGTCGAGACTATGTTATGGTAAAGCTTGGTGAAACTATTCAACCGATGAAAGAAAGTTTCATTGTCGCATTTTTGGCCTGGAAGGGTGCCAGAAAGGAGGATATGGTTGTACCTAAAGCTATTCAGGAGTACAGAGAAAAACATAACGTAGTAGTAGAAGATGGACCTGATGAGGAGTATCAAAACATGAGAGAGGAGAAAGAGAGGGAGATTGCACAGAAAAAAGAAAAATCGTCGGATGTCAAGAGTGGCGCAACTGAGGACGGACAATCTAAGGATGTTGTTATGAAAGACAGCGTTGCCGAAAATGTTAATGATGGTGCGACTCGTGTTGAGAAGTCTGCAGAGTGCAAGATAAAGGAGGCAGTAAAGGACGATGATAACGTTTCCAAAGATAAAAGTAAACCAGAAAATGAAAAATCCAAGGAGTCGGAGAAGTCGGAAGAAGACGTCCAAGAAAAGAATGCGGACAACGCTAAAGGTGGAGCAACAGCTGTCGTCGAATCCAATGTCGCAAGGGCTGGTGCAGAAGCTGATATCAAATCTGATGGTCTAAATGAAACCTCAAAAGAGGGAACAAAAGACAAAAACGCCGAGAACATAGAATCCACATCTCAAACTCAACAGCCATCCGAGAAGGAGTCGCAAGTTAAGTCTGAGGCCACTACAGATAATAGTTCGATCAAAATTGAAGAGAAAAAAGACGACGGAGACGGAAGCAAGCCAAACCAAATGGAAGTGGACTCAACGTCAAAGAGTACAGAAGGAAAAGATGCTCTGTCTTCTGCCAAACTGGCGACTACTCAAAACGGTGCAGGCGCAACGGCAACGGCAGTTCCGACTACCAGTGCTGGAGTTGAGAAGGTGGAAGCAACGAAGTCCTTATCAATGCAGGAAAGATCTGGAAAATTTGCAGCTATGGCTAAGAAACGGGGGTTTTCTGGAGAGGAAAAGAGCGATACAGGTGATAAGGATAAAAAGGAAAAATCGAAGGCGAAGGGGAAAGAAGCAGAAGCTGCACCTGTTATTTATGTTTTGGACAGCAAGGGGAGAAGAGTTAAGGTTATTGATGACGATGCGGAAGAAATGGATTGCGAGTTTCTTAATAATCGTCAAGCATTTTTAAACCTTTGCCAAGGAAATCACTATCAGTTTGATCATCTAAGGCGGGCGAAACATTCTTCAATGATGGTCCTGTGGCATTTACACAATCGAGATGCTCCCAAGTTTGTCCAGCAATGTACGACGTGCTCAAGAGAAATTCTTTCCGGCTATCGCTTCCATTGTGCTGTTTGTGCTGATTTCGATCAATGTAAGGAATGCATAAACAATCCAAATATACCAAGGCATCCGCACCAACTCACACGGATTGCTGTGTCGGGACAACAAACCGAGTTGACAGAAGCGCAACGCAAAGAGCGTCAACGTAGCATTCAGCTTCATATGACTCTATTGCAGCACGCTGCAACTTGCAAAAACCCAAAGTGTCCTTCCGCGAACTGTACGAAGATGAAGGGTCTTTTGAAACATGGTGCTCAATGTACAATCAAGGCTACTGGTGGCTGCAACGTGTGTAAAAGGATATGGGCTCTTCTTCAAATACATGCCCGCCAGTGTAAAGCAACGCAATGTCCTGTTCCAAACTGCATGGCAATCAGAGAAAGGGTACGCCAGTTGAAGAAGCAGCAACAAGCCATGGATGACCGCCGTCGTCAAGAAATGAACAGAGCATACAGAGGCGCGAGATAATTCGAGATTTCAATACTGCACTGGTTGGCGTTGAGATAGTTACGTTAAAACGAACCACGTCTTTTCCTGGAAGCGAGCGCATGGAATCGATCACCACCATGAAAACGAGACGTCAAAGTCATGTCAAAATATATAGTCCGAAGGCAAGCGTTCGAGACAAAACTGTAATAGTCTTTTTGAATCTTGTGCAAATGTCTCGACTGATGATTTTTATTGAAGTATTTGGTCTCTAGCAAGTAGATCGACGTGGGCAACCAAAGAAGCAAAATATAGACGTCCTTAATTTTAATGGATTGCATTCATTCTCAGATCTCGTGAAAAAGTGTAGGGCAGTCGATCTTCAGCAATAAACTATGAATAAAAGTCGTCAGTTTGTTACTACGTTACTTCAGACTCGAGACGATGAAAATATCACGGGGATACATAGTATGTAGAAGTAGTTGTTTAAAAAAAGAATGACGTGCAGTTTTACTCTCAATTATCCTCTCCAAAGAGTTCTTTGATTGTCAAAAGAGTATTTGGAATGTTTAGTTTAAGTGAAGACGCAGTGTTGTTTGCAGGGTGTTTAAAGTATTTTAGTACAGTACCTGTACTTTCTAATAAGATCCACATTTCAAGATGCATCGATTGGAAAGGGGGCTATCCGTTTTTTTATTTCCTTGTCTTTCAAATATGTAGCTTTTGCAGCTGCCTCACATCCTACTGATGGTGGTGATTCGCCCCAAGCACACAAACCCAACTTGTTCCAGTCATCTTGGACAAATGTACCATAATCTACATGAAGTTCAGTGTTGGCTTGTATATTTCTTGTTGCGTAAAGCGATCTTCCAGTGCAGCCATATTTCGTGTCCCTATCTATCCCACCTACATCCGTATTTCTTGTAACACCCATTGCGTCGTTAAACATGCTTCCCGCGTCCATGTCGATGCAAGCTGCAAATTCAGTGGGAGATGCTTTGACAATGTAGGACCATAGAATAGCATCACACGCCAAGTCTTTGTCGTACATGGATAGCCCGATTATGAATTTCCTATAAGCATTTCCCGATCGGAATTCAGCAGTGTTCGTTGACTTCCAGACAACAGATCCTTCAGGAATATCTTCTGTTGCGAAGATGCCTCTGCCAACAACAGGGGCGATCCTTACTTCTGTCGATAAGGTCATTTGACTCCGGTATTCCGTAGGAAAGGTATCGTACTTGCTCTCGTTTGTGCGATACTTCGCCATTGTCGAGTGATACACTTTGTTCATGAGTTTGAAACTTTCCTCGTCAGGAATGACAACATTAGCGTATCTGTCTGCTGAGTGGACATCGGGGCAATTTAACAATACTGACAATTCGTTTCCAGATCCATAATTAGATGCAAACGTCTTGAAGACTTCCCAATCGTGTTCGTAGTCTTCTGTGTTATCGTAATATATGCGCTCGGGAAAGTAATAGTTGTCGTCTCCATCATAATGGTTATTGCGACCATTCGTACGAAAATTATCTTGGAAACCACCATAATAAGAATGGTCGTCGTCGTCGTCGTCGTCGTCGTCGTCGTCGTCGTCTTTCTTGTTCTTGTTGTTGTCGTCGTAATAGTTTATATAGACGGTACTATCTCCCAAACGACTTATCTTCGCGACAAAGTATTTCGTCGACTGCCGGCTAATCTCAGCCAGCGCCAGCAAGGTGACAAGAATGGCAGGGATTCGAAATCTACCAAATTTCGGCGATCCCGATACCTGTCTATCGTTTTGGTTTGAAGAACGTTTCCCATGCACTTGTGCGAAATCGATGGCATCATCGCATTCACGTTCGCGTTTGTGTTCGCCCGAGAATCTTCGACGAAGGCCTCTCGAAGAAGATGCAGGATATTCCTTCTTGTCAACCATTTTAAAAAATTGGTTCGGTAGTTACCTATTGTGAGCACGTGACACTTGACAAATTGCCAAAAACTGGAACGGCATGAAAGAACAGTGCCGTTCCGATGATCCCTCGTGACTGCAGTGACAAGCGGGTCGCGGTGATTTTTTGTTGGGCTCGATACAAATGGCTGCCTCTCAAATTTTAATTTTTCCATTTACCTTTTTTTGAGAAGGCAGATGAGAACAACAAGACCCAACACCCTTTGGTCCTCTGAAATGGTGCAGAAATACTAAGAAGAACCAATTTCAATGTTGGTTATTCTGGCAAGAAGAAGAAAGCATCTTTCTGTTCTTCAAGTAACATCTGCTCCTCCACCAGAAAGTTATTAGTACTAGTACTAGCTACTACTACTAGTAGTAGTGGTGGGACACTGACAACAATCAGTACTACTACTACTACTACTACTACTAGTAGTAACAGCCAACTATGTAGGAATCAAATTGGCACACAATTGGAACAACTACTATTTATTGTTAGTACTAGTACTACTAGTACTAGTAGTAATAGCAAAAGCATAGTGATGCTAGTAGCACAGGTACTACTAGTAGTAGTAAACTAGTAGTTCTACTAGTTCTACCACTACTAGCTACTAGTAGTAGTACCAAAAATACTACTAGTAGTACTAGTATTACTGTCTACTATTATACTAGTGCCACTAGTACTACTGCAACTACTACTAGTAGTATCAAGTATTAATTAAAAAAATATTATGCATTTTATTACTCGGCTCCAACAAGAACAAGAAGTAGTCAGGAGGAGGGGGGTGCAACAGTAGTAACAAGGGGGCATTGAAACTTCATTTGGGGATAGCTAACTGTTGAGTGTTCCTTGTAGTAGACTGTTCTTATCAATAGAGCACCAGTCTTTGAACAACATTGTGGTACTACTAATGTTGCCTTCTACAATTCATAGTAGTAGTAGTACTCCTACTGGTACTTTGGTTTCCATCAGGATGCACTAGTACTATGGTGGTGCAATTGTGTCTGTTGACATGTATAAAATTACAGTTAGTTGGCTCATCAATTATCACATTATGTTATTACTATCTGTGCTACTGGTCAATTTACTACTTGCTTTTCTAACACCTGCAGTAATAGATTTCAGCTCTGCTGATACCCCACTAGTAGTAATTGAAGGGGATTATCTGAGTATGAATACCTGCACTTACATACATGTCCTAACATTTTGAGAAGGCATCAAATTCATTTTTTGGGCCAGAATGAATTGAAATTGGAAATTGGAGGTCTAAGAGCGCATCAATGCAAAGACAGGTCTGATTCAGCCTTTTCCTTGTGTGGTCGTAACATGCATCTAGTGCCTTAATGTAGTCGTCTCATGGTGTTTTGGGTTACTTTCATATTGCGGTGTTCACAGTGAACCCTGTGCCAAGAGGTATCAAACTCAGAGACCCATTTCCTCCCATCCGTGGGGTTCTGCAAAATCACCATAATATGCTCGGATCTCTTCGTTCGCAGCAATGTCTCGCTTGGCATAAAATTTCATATTGCACCCATACCAGGTCTTCGTTTCGTCATCTCCTTCTTTCAACAATCCTGTTTCAGTTCCTAGTTCCATGTTACATTGACGATGCCATGCCGGTGACGAGTTCACAAAGGAACCCTCGTCGAGATCTACACATGCTATGAATTCGTCCTCTTTTTCTGCCGACACCATTCGGCTGAATGCCCAAATGATAACATCACACGCCAAGTCTGTTGGCAACTTGCTCAAGAAAGTTCGATATTCTTCTCCTGTTTGGAACTGGGCGTTATTTGTACTTTCATATATTAGGTCACCCCTCGCAATCGGAACCTTTGTGAAGACACCTCTACCGACCTCTTCGCTATATTCGATTTCCACTGGTATTTGAAATCCATTTGATTCATATGCCGGAGGAATCGTAGATCGTTCTGGACCGACAACTTCATTATATACACGATTAAAGGTCTTCCAAACATCTTCTTTATGAATGTCTTTTGATTCCCAACTGCAATCGAGGAATTCAGTAATGTCAGCAATGCCGCCTGTCTTCCATACTGGATTAATGCATGTGCTTTCTGCAGTATTCTCATCGTCTGTTTCGCACTCTTGGTCTTTTGGAATTGATTCTTGACTTTTTCCAACTGCCACTAACGTGGCAAACAAGAAAAAGGCTCTTCGCACGGATGGAGATTTCGTCATGGTCTTTGGTTGCAGTGTCATTTCTCGTTTCTTCTCTTCTATGAAGGGGTGTTGTATTCACGACGTACGAGTGATACAAATACCACTTTTGATATCGTGCGGCACAGTTTTGTCCAGTTTTAACGAGAAATGTAACTCGTGACTCCGAATCCAGTATTGGGTCATGAATTGTAACGTCGAAGGTCGCGAAAAACAAGGGAAAAAATAAAAAATTGATCTGGAAAGTGGAAATCGGGGTTCAATCAAAGAGTTGGGAAGCTCAAAAAGTAGTACCCGGAAGGTATCTTTCATCATCTTTTCCTGTACTCTACTACTGTTCTACGTAATTCTGTGGGTCGTTTGAAAACCAAATTTCGAAATTTACTTTGTAGTCAGCCATGGTGACAAGAACAAATAACAGTACGGCAAGAGAACACCATCCTCGGCAGCTGAGCGTGATTTTGTATCCATCCATTTTTTATGAAGTCTGGTGCGAATTCAGAATGGTTTTAATCGGCTAGATGAAACCAGTCCAACCATGCTAAATCGCAATCGAAGTGAGGAAACCATTTTTGTGATTTTTGTTTGTACCTTCGATTGATACAACGCAGCCATGAAAAGTGGTCTGGTCGAAAACCAAGTAAGATCAAGAAAAAGGTTCAAATTACTCTAAAAAAAGGTTTCCAGCGCGATTTTCGATAAGATTCTTTTAAGGTGTTTCGTCGAAAGTAAAAATGCTCATAAAAAATGAAAGCAATGCATTTGCGATCCCAGTTGCAGTCGTTCAAGAATTGTTATTTGTTTTGAATCAGCAGCTACACATCGCCTAAGTACTGTATATAGTAAACGATCAAAACATGGAGGCGATTAAGCAATCTTCTTTCAGGACAATGAAGCTGTTCGTGTTGATCGTTTTGGCGTTTATCGTCCTTTCCAATTTCCCCTACACTGCCGCAGAGGGTAACTTCACAAACATTTACGCTACAACGTGCCAACCTGGTTCTTTTAGTGTGGTCATCGAGAGCATCTCCAACTGCCAACCATGTCCTCCGGGTACCTACTCTGACTATCCTGGAGCAGAATATTGCAAAACGTGCCTCGACACTATCTACAACGGAGAGGGCGCCGATTCGGTTGAGATGCTGAGCGGTCAATTGTATTGCATCAATACAGAAACACTCTACTGGGACGACGAAGTTCCAAGTGAATATACCATCACAGGATATCCCACTAGCCTTCAGGTTGCTGTACCGCCCCCTTCCGCGGCGCCGTCTCTTATGCCATCCTCGACACCGTCGAACCTCCCTTCCGTTATGCCTTCTGCCATGCCTTTTTTAACGTCAGTCTCGATCAAAGGTGATTCAATGGCATCATTTCCCTGTAACAATACAGGCAACAATGCAGGTACTTTTGAGTGGTATGGTCGTTGCCAAGAGTGTCCGGCACGCCACGAAACAATTTTGTTTCCCTTCTTGGTAGTAACTCTTTTAGCTCTGCTCGTGATCTTGCTCGAGTATTTGCTACCTTCATGTTGCACCGCTCTTGTCTGGTGGGGCATCGAGTATCTCCAGATGATTTACTTCATTGGAATTTTGTCCATTCAATGGTCTCCGATCGCAGAATTCGTTTTTGTAAGATTGCTCCCGGTTTTCGCTTTGGATCTCAATGCGTCCTTCAGTCTACAATGCGTGATCGGCAAGAATTGGCCTCAACAGGAATCTGCCGATCATTTGTTTATACTATCATTGCCGTTATTGGTCGCAATTCTCTTGACATTCATCTCCAAGATTTCAAGCAGTCGGTGCATTCGAGACGAATCTGTTTCTAGATGGATGACTCTTATCCTGCACATGGGATACTTAAAATTAGTCCTCACTTCTCTCCAGATTATTCACCTTCCTGAATCATGGACAGCAGATGTGTTATCCTCCTGGACGAAATCCGATCCTTTCTATGCCACCATGTGTGGACTTGCTGGTCTCTTATTTTACGGTGGGGCATTCCCATTATGGCTTGTTCAGAGTATTTCACATTTCCACCGTTTGAACCTTGCTCTTGTAAGAGATGATACACCAGACGATACCTTTATTGGAAACGACGAAGAACGAAGTGCAGAGATAAAAAGACAACAAATTATTAAGAGAAAGCAAACCAGGAGAAAGAAGGAACTCTTTCAGACTATTGGAATCCTACCAATTATTCTCGGTCCCAAAGCCTGGTGGTGGCCTGGATTTTGGATGCTTCGAAAAATGTTGTTTTCTGTCTTGTTGGTCCTCTTTCCAGATAAACCAGTTTTGTTGCTGATTATTTTTCTACTGGTCCATTTTTTGAGTGTTATTATTCAGCAATGCACCTTACCTTTGGTTCATGAAGATCAGGACCAAGCCAAGGACGATAAGAAGAAATGGTGCCACGTTGCAACTGTAGATACAGTATTGCAGTTTTGCTTGGCAGCCATGCTTGGTGTGGCATTCTTCTCGCTGTGGTCGACCGCAGACAATGGGAGCACAAGGTCTTCTTTTCAAAAACACACGGAAGGTAGTATGGTGCTATCTATTTTGTTGATAAGCTTAATTTATCTTACTCTGGCTATTGGTGTCTGCTGTGCCCGATCTGATCCTCGATTTAAGTCTGTCGCATCTCAGATAGTTTTCAACACTACCAAAAATGACAACAACACGTCTACGTCCGGGAGCAATGACCCATCCCGTACAGAGTTCTGTACTGAGCTGTCCTTTAAACGATCCTTTTCGACAGAGTCCTCTTCTTCCCAGGACTCGAACAACGACATTGTATTTTTTGGAGGAAGTCAACGGGGTATGAATTCAAACCTAATCGATGAAGAATATGCCGATGAGTTCCAGGATGGTACCGTGAATGATGGGGTCATTATGTCGGCATCATACTTGGTTGAGGAGATTGACGAAAACGGACGAGAAAGATTGGGAAATAAACAGAAACAAGAAAAAGAAAGCCCCAAAATATTCCGCAGTGATCCTTCTGTTTCAAAAATTGACGAAGAAGATGATACTACGACAGTTTATGAAGAGATTTGGGTTGACGAAGAGACAGGGAACGAGATCTCTGCTGCTGACCAGGGCAATTGGGTGGATACCGAAACTGGTTCACTAGTAGTTCCCCTTGGCTAAGTCGATCTGGATATGAGAAGCACTCTATAATTCTATATGTTACACAAGATAATAACAACGACCAGCCATTGTAAATACTGCTTGTATTGTATTCCGGGGATCACAACATCAATTCGTTTTGTGTACCATAAAATCAGTTTCTTACATAATCCATGCCCGAATGTCATATCATATTACTTCCATTTCCTTCTTCTGATGAAATTTTTGCTCTTTTCACAGCTCTTTCGTCAATGTAGTTCACTTTGACTACATTGTCAACAAGGTCACTCTTCTGATCGCCCCTTTTATTCATGTCCTCTGATTGGGTAACTGAGTTTGCATCAGGGACTTCTTTTTCTTCTCTATCTTCTTTTGACGCAAGTGCACTCTTTGCATCCATGGCTGATTGGTTACCCTTCAAGAAGTAAGAATCTTCGTATCGATGTTCTCCAGGTGCCAAGGCGGTCGCCTCCGAGCATTCACTGTCTACGTTTGTACCCGTAGTTATTGTTGCAAGGGCTTTCGAGTGATCAACACCCCATAGCTTACACAAACTGACAAGATCATGACAGTTGCAGGTTTTGCCAACGGTTTGCCCCTGCGGAAATTTCATGGGTAGGTACGGAACCCTTCCGGTGGGAGTACGGCGATGGGACATCATTTCACACACAACGTACTTCGTGTTTTTGTGGTGGGAGTCGAATCGTACCGAATATTTCATGTATTCTTGGATGACGGCTGTCTTATCGATCTCTGCTGTTTCAAGAGGCAGAAAAGTGCTTGTGTTATACAATGCTGGTCGACCCAGCAAAACCCCGTCGACCTTGGTTCTTTCGACGAATTCGGTTCGCTCCTTCCGGTCGTAAAAGTCTCCGTTCACGAGGAAATTGATACTGGGATGCTTAGGCCGCAAGACCTCCAAAACTTCTTCGAGTGACTTCCAGTCCGCAGCCGTGGTTGACTCGTCTCCGACACGTCTAGCGTGAATGGCCACGGCATCCGCTCCGGCGCGAATCATTGTTTCGACAAAGTCTACGGTTTCTTTCGTTGTTGCCAACAGCCGGATCTTGCACGAGAGAGGCTTTCCGAGTGGTCCCAACAAGCCCTTCAGTGAAGCAAGAATCCGTGCAGCTCGATCTGGATCCTTGAGAAGCGCCGATCCCATACCTCCGGAGACACTGAATTTCTTGGGGCATCCCATGTTGACATCGATCGCTGCAACGTCTCCAACGACCTTCTTCGCGGCGTCCAACGCTAATTCCGGTTCACCCGTTCCCAATTGACAAACGAGTTTTCCTTTTTCGACATTTGGATCTATCCGCAGTATTAAGCAGGGGCGATTGTTGTCCGCTTTTAGTTTTTTCTTTGTCTTCTTCGGAAGCATTGCTGGATCCTTGATATAATCGATTGTTTGCAGCTCTTTATTTTCGACACGAATTGTTTGCGACAAGGATCGATCGACCAACTCTTCAGTGTATGTAAAGTCAGCTCCGTATCTAAGTGCTAGAAGCCGCAAGGGGGTCGTTGAAGCGCGAACCATAGGAGCCAGAGCAGCACCTCGGTACAAAAGTTGTGCCTTTTCGCGGCAAGCAGGATAGCTTGCAGCGACCCCCACATCGTCAGAAAAACCAACAGCACCGGGAGTCATTGCCACCGTCTCTCCTTCAACTTTCTTTTCTGTCATCATGAGGTGCGACTTTTCATAGATTTTTCGAGGGCGTTGATGCATAGAGTTCCCCTTCTATTCTCTTCCTATGATGGTATCAGCGACTAACTGTATCGAACATCACATTTTTGAGATGAGTGCGTAGTTTTACCGTACCGATACATACGTATCCATAGCGAACTGTGAAAAATATTTTTTCGGAAAAGTTTGGAAATTGGTGTGAGAAGTCCACGATAATTGACTGATCATGTTTGTCCAGGCTAAGTTCGGTTGACGGACATACGTCATGTTAGAAAAAAATTCTTGGGCTTTAACATTGCGATCAATTCACGTCTGGAATACAACTAGGTAGTCCGACTGCTGAATGATATTATTAGGACTCCTAACAACTAAACTGTCGTACACTCGCGTAGCACGCATCGAGAATCAAGAATTGAGAGGGCATGTCAGTTGAACTTTAATCTTAACTCGAGTGAATGAGATGAAAGATACTGAAATGTGTGCAGATCGTACTGAATAACTGTAGTTCCGATTGCAGTACCGTACGGTACAGTAAAAAGAAATCGAAACTGCCGACAATGGCAGTAGATATCAAACTTTACAGTGAGTTGTGACAAAAATTGCCGTACTTCACTTCTCGAGAAAACGTAAAAAGATCTTGTAGATAATAGTAACACTGTAATGGAAAACAATTCATCGAGATCATCTTACTATGAACTCCAATCAAGTTCCAATGAAGAGAAGCACTCTGATATCGCTTTCGTTGGTTTTCTTTGTCGTCGCGGATGCAACAACAATTCAACCGAAGAAAATGACAACCAGACCGACGCTGGTTGAAGTAGCAACAACGAAATCACCGACAAAAAATAGGGTGTCAATAGTTTCCTGTCGAAGAGCAACGTCGCTTGTGAGGGTACTCCCATTAAGAGGTGGAGATGGCAGTAGAGATGCTACTCTCTTCAAAAAAAGTTGGAAAATTGTATCGACACCCTGGAAATACGCGGTTGAAAAAGTGACTCCTCAAACTAGCAACATACGAGTCAGTCATGGCACGAATGTTGACGAGAACAGAGTCGCAGAGCAAGGAGCGGAAATCACCTCCGAGTCTCTATCCACAACCTCAAAATCATCCCATTATAGCCCCCTTCAAATGTATGCTTCATGCATGGGCATCGTCACTCTGTGGATGATGACTGGCACTCTATTTTATTCTTTTGTGAACGACTGGCCCATTCCACAATCATTTTTCTATGCCGTTGACGCGGGTATGTCGATCGGGTTTTGTACCGATGTGGTCGAAACAAAACTCGTTAGCAAGTCTTTCACCATCATCTTTATCGTATTGGGGGCTTCTGTCGTGGGTGGTGCCCTCGCTCTTTTCATGCAGGACCTCGTCGAAGGCGTCATCGATCGAGAACGAAAGAACAACAGCAGCATCCTCACGAAAGGATACGAATTAATGATCGAAAAGGAAACTTTTCAGAAATTCGATGCTGACAACAGCGGAACCCTCAGCAGAAGCGAATTTTCGAAGCTACTACGAGCTACTAGTTCGAATGTTAAAATTTCCGAGGACGACATCGACGTTCTTTGGACGAAATTTGATGGCATCGAGGATGGAGCCATTCGTTTCGAAGAATTTGTCGGAACCTCACGATGTATCAACGAATTGATTGCGTCGTTAAACGACAAGACTACTGCGTTCCACCAGGATGAACTCGGTGGCGGAAAGCAATCAACGGCAACAACTCTTCTAGGATCTATATTATCTCGCACGAGTTCCGTGCCGTCTCGTTTGAAAGCAATATGGCAAAGCGAAAACAGAATTTATGGTGTCTTTATAGCTTGGGTACTACTCGGTATAATATTTGGGATGATTGATCAACATTGGGATCCAATCACAAGCACACACTTTGCGATCAGCGCCCTGGCTACGGGAGGCCTCACTGGCCCAGCCGTAAACAGCGACGGAATCTTACCCGCCCGGCCGTCGATATTCTGTGGATGTTATTGTCTTTTTGGAATTCCTTTGATGGCCATCACCTTTGGTCACTTTGCACAAAGATTGGTTGCGAATCATGTCGCTGCGATGGAAGAATGGGGATTGACTAGACCCATGACGGCGACCGATTACAAAATCGCCAGGCAATACTTGACCCGGGAGATCACCACATCTCCCCCTTTGAAATGGATACGAAAACATGGACGACAACAGCAACAATCCTCTTTGTTCCCCTCGTCTTCTGGTAAACCGTCGAGTGGTTTGCGCTTGAGTGATTTTGTTGTCCTGCAGCTACTCCGACAGGGAAAAATTTCCGTAAGAACTCTCGATATCTTGAGAAACGAATTTGACTTGCTCGATAAAGATGGCACTGGGTTGCTCACTCTCGAAGAAGCAACCACTTGGTCTACCGATGGCCGAGAGGAGAAGCCAATGGTAGGACCATTGTGACCGCTAAAAAAGAAGAGTATTGCTTGCTGACGACAACAAAGTTACTCTTCAATAAACTATTACTATCGGTGTTTTCTTTTAGGTCTAAGTCCTGATAGCCCCATTTTCTCCTAACTCACGAATGGGACGAGGACTGAGTTGGAAATTTGTCTTGAGTTGAAGTCTTGATAGCCTCATTTTCTGCTAACTCACGAATGGTATATGGAGTTAATTGGAAATTTGTCTGAGTTTCCCTTCACAAGAGTGATTCGCCTGCTAGTCCTGATGTTTATTCTAATGAAAATCTGTGTCATATAAGATACTACCAGAAGTAAGCACTAAACAGGTAAGTCGATAGCAGATTAAGGGAAGTATGAGATGTATGTCCAAAAAGTTCTGAAGGATGTTTGTATTTTTGTTATGTTTGAACTACTAGTACTGTACGGAGTACTGGAGTTTTGAAAGAGTTGTGAAGTTCGTACGGTATTTAGCCTCTCTTCGACGATCACAGAGATGGGGCATGAAAAAATACTTTGCGCGCAGGGCTTTTTACTGTAATCCGATTTTTCTTACGAGTACGTACGAAACACGACAACTTCCACTTTGACCAACGAGAACTTCTCAGTTCACAGAAATCAATTCAAAAATCAGCATCTACCGGTACCCTTTTCGGTTCGAATTAAGACGTGACAGCTTTTTAACGGTAGGGATTCTACAGGACCCTACGTGTGGAACAATAGTCTTAATTCAGACCA